ACTGTCAGGGAAGAATGGCCTCTCCCCTGTTGCTGCTCCCCTCCCTTTTCCCTCTTGATAACTCTTGACAGAGTTCACAGATAGAAATAGTCCCCAATGGAGCCAGAATACACCTCCCTTTCAATCAAGACTCAGTTGTTTTTTTAGCTAGTCTGAATAATTAGCAGTCTAGGTAGTCCTTTCACTTTTATTTGTTTGAAAAAAATAAACCCACTAAATATAATTATAGAACTTTGCAGATAAATCAGCTTTTTGAAATGAAATTTAAATGTATTGGTTACCTGTCTCTCAGTCTGGATTATGTACATCTCATTAAAAATAATAACCAGTTGGAAGAAAATAATTAGGTTGTTTGAAAGGATTTTCAGAGAGATGAAATTGAGAATATAAATGCATTTTTTTCAAAGACACAAATTTATTTGTGTTGCAGTGCTATTGTCACTACTCAAATGGGTTTCTGAAGCCCTGCACAAATCTGCAACAAACAAAATTCAGTGGCTTGAGATAATGGCAAACTAAGCATAGGCACCAGGGTTCAGCAATATATATCTTATTAATGTATACTATGTTATGACTTTATTTCCCCAAAAGGCTCTTGTTTTACACCAGCCCTAGGGCAGATTCTGTTTGGAGGTCAACATGACTTTTGTTGACTTGGCCAGCCAAAGATAACAATAGCTGAAGATGGGATATCTCTATCTAGACGCTCAGTTTAAATATGTTTCATTTCTACAGGCTGAAAATAAATAGCAAAAGCATTTGGTCTTAGAAAATTATCTGGGTGTTGTAATGGGGGGAAAGGTACTCTGAGGGGTCCTTGGTGCTCTCTAATCATGGCGGGGGTTTGCAGGGGTTTCATTACCCATACTAGGTAACACCATCAGTGTTAATCCCTCATTTCAATCCTGAGCTACAAATACTCTCCTTCATTAGTAAAAAGGACCCTCTGAGTTCAGTGATACCTTCATAAACTGATTCAGTTCAAATTGAAGAGACATTGCTTAGCTATTACTTACTTGCAAGTAAGTTTTAAAAAAGGAAGGATATGCAGAAGTTTATTCAGCCCAATTACTGCTATAAGATTTTCATCAGGATTGTACTCATAGCCCATAAGCAAGTGTAGCATCCAGTTGAGGGAGGCTTAAATTTCAATCAAACCTCACAAAATTGGGTGAATAGGATGGGGTAAATTATATAATCCCTTCCTCCTCCAGTCATTAATTGCTTACACAACTTGTTTAGCCAGGTCTGGTAAATACCTTGTGGCTGCACTGATACAGCATACCAAGTTTGGTTAATGTTAACATTGATTAATATAGGTTTCTGTTTCAGTGGATTAATATAGGTTTCTGTTTCAATGTGTGAATCCAACCAATAGGGTTACTTTATATACTTTATAGTATAGGATGCAAACTAAGAAAAGGGTGACCAGTTGAAATAAGTTGTGTGAAGGCAGCCTCTATAGTTGTAGGCAGAACCCCTCCCCGCCCCTGAAAAGCAATATAGAATAGTGTGCACTGTGCAAAGAGTTGAACGACAGCCTTATTTTGGCCACAGGCATTCCTGCTGGATGGTCATTCACAAATCATCCCTGTTAGTAGAAGCATTAACAATATGCACCCTCTGGTGCTAATTAGATAGCTTTGTTGTTATAGAAACAGCTAGTACATATCATGATATAATTATCTTTGTGTATGAGCTTAGCTCAGCCATCAATGAATGCTACAGTATATTTGAAGCAAAAGCTAGATTTTTGAAGAAACTCATAAAAGGCAAAGTTTTAAATACATCTTGGAGAGGGAGAGAACAGAAGAGAGAGGTTAGAGGAAGGAACTCTCAAACAGACTAATTTAACTTAGAATAGGTACAGTGAGAAACAAACACAACAGATAATTGTCAAAACTTTCCCCCTCACCTAGCCCTGCCATTTGGTTAAAAAAACCTCTTAGGTGTGAAGAGATGATGCAGGCTGTAACACCCACAAACAGCAGGTTTTTACCCAGCACTAAACAAAGCAATGGCACTTTAAATAAGTACAGCTGTAACTCACATCCCTATGTACTGTAGTTAAGTTTAGCAGCCACTGGTCATTTCTAAAGAGGGCGCAGGACTCTTCTGCCAGGGTGGCAAGAGAAAAATCACAGGGAAGGTGTCCCCCGTGTGCAGCTGACTCTGGCATCAGCACCACTATGGCCTCCTGCCAGCCCAGTGCCATGCCTGAGAAAGAGAAATATGTGCCTGTAACATTACCCCTGCTGCATGAGTGCACGCAGCTACTTTACTGCCAGTCAGAGCTTTACGAGACACTGTCATGATGGGCACCAGCAGCTGTAGGGTGTACTATCCCTAGGGCTGTGGGCAGAAGAAATGGGGCATGTTAAAAGTGTGGAGATGTATGTGTATGTGTGTGCCTGATTGGGTGGTATTAGGCAGAGAACAGAGGCAGTCACTAAATCTAAGGCACATGTAAACGGGCAAGTACCAGCCTGCATTTTGTATAAATAATTCTGCTGCCATGAGCTTCTATTTCAGCCCCAGCCCTGTCACTGCTGCCAAGGAGTGAGTCTGCGCAGGGCGGACAAAAGGCCATAGATGGGGGGAAGATAGGTGAGTGGGGAGAGCTGAAGTGCCTCAGCAGTTGTAAGTGGTGGCAGGCAACCAGGTATCCAAATTTTGATCATATGATTGTGGGTGTGGGGGCACTTCAATAGTCATAACTTCAAGGACCTGTTGTAACTCACTTTTTTCAGCGCTATCGTAACATCAAGCGGTAGCTGAATGAATGCTCATAAATCGAGGACTACCTGTAAAGTTTAATTCTTGGCAGCTGAATTGCAGCACGATTGAAGGGCAAAAATAGTTTCTTCTTTCTCCCATTGTTGTCAGCCTATGGAATAACTAGCCTTAACTCTATTACTTGTGTGTGATGTGGGATGGTGTGGTCTTGGTGTGGAGAGAAAGGGTGCCTGGTCTGAGGGATTTAGCCTTAATGATAGGTTGCTGATGTGAAGGTGACCTGCGTTGTGTTACTGAGCTGTATGTCAACCTGGGTTATCTTAAAAGTTCAGGAAACCTATGTCCCAATTGCTTGGCAGGCAAATTGGGGTGTGTGGAGGTGGGGTTCAGACTGAAGCAAGAATTGATCATATGGTACATCAGGAAATCTCGCTCCACCCTTCCTAATTTGTCACCCAGGTTATTGTTGGGTATACATTTGATAGAACTGCATTCAGAAATAACTGAGTGGCAGGTCACAGAAACAACACAGGGGCTTCCAGGAGCACCAAGGATTGCCTCATCCAGACCTCACCCTTTCACTGCACCTGTGATCTGTCATTTAAGCCACAACAGGAAATTAGCAGAATTCTGGTCCATTTCACCCCGTCTCAAATACTGTAGGTAGTTGTATGTAAAGGAATGCCAGCTAACAACATGCAGCTGCAGCCAGCTGTTTCTGGAAGTATTCTGGTGAACAGTAGAAATGCTGCTGGCCTAGGTAAGGGGGTGTCCCACAGGTAATAAAAACAGTAGTGATGGTGGTCACTTATTGACCAGAATAGGGACTGGCAGCTCTGTTGCTAAGCAGTGTAGTTGTTAAACATGATGTTATGCAACCACACTAATTTAATTGGTCCTGTCAATTCTGGCTGCAGTTGTTAAGTGAATCATCATGGGTCATTAAGTACAATGTTATATGACTGTGGCTTGCAGCTTCCTGCTGGTTTTTCCATTGACTTTGTTGGAATCCAGCTGTGAAGTTTTCAGATGGTGCTCCCATAACTGCAGAATGCTCTGACTGTTGTAAAAGTGAGCTGGTCTCCAAGCATCTGAATCATGGTCACCTGGCCATGGAGATACTACACTGGCTAGTCATAAGTCTCTATTTTCAGCCACTGAATGAGTAATTGGCCATTGAATGAGTAGTTGGTAAGTGAGGGCTACTTGAAGAAAGCATTCACCTCGCACAGCTAGCAAAACCCAACTCTTTCCCAGTACATTGACCTCCAGGAAGAGAGTGCTAATTCTGTGTTTTAAACTTAGACCTATTGCTCTTTTGAAAGATCACGAAGTATATTGTATTCAAACAGGTCAAACACTGTTCCAGAAGAATGCAAGGCTCATGTCCATCTGGAAAGCACATAATGCCTGAAAGGTCTTGTCAGATGTCCCACTGGAACTGAGTACCTGATCTCTCCAGTAACCCAAGCCAAATGGCCATGAAAGGCAAAGCCCGGTGCCCAGAACTGATAGGCTGTTCCCCCAATAACCAAAGGAGAAAAGGAAAAACATTACTCTGAACCAAAACAATGAAAGGGGAATATAAGCTGCCCCTGATGTAGGTGAATGTCTTTGTGCCATGGAATATGTTTGCCACAAGACAAAGTAGACAGAAAAGAAACTAAGCAATAGTTTATTGTTGTTCAATCTGCAGGGGTGGGGATTTAACATAATATTAATTCCAGTTATTTCTAAGGGTGGGGGGGGGAGGACTGGAGTGAATAATCTCTCCATGACAATTTGTTCTGTCAGGGATATCCTGGATTTGGAAGCATTTCCTTCGCAAACCCCACTCCTACAATATGTCTCATTAGTGAAACTTACCCCACCTGATGGCCCCCAGAAGTGGTGGAAGGACAACTGGTAAGAGGACATTAGATTCGGGATGGCCTAGTTGGGCCATTGCCTATCTGCTATCCTGATCTTTTCCTAATATGGATATATATGACATGGATTGGAGAGTCACTGAGAGATAAGAATTGAGGATTAGATACAGGTCAAATCTTGGGAGAATTTACAAAGAATCTTCTGGACACTTTGAGAAATGGTGGATCTTGGAGCACAGAAGGCTTTGGCTGGACACAAAATGGCTGCCATTGTTGGCATAGTACTGTAGCACAAAATACCATCTTATCAGTGAGCAAACTGGGAAACTTATTTCCTAATCACCTTCCCTAGCTTTGCAAAATATTGTTTACCATACCTGTTGCCTTTTTTTGTGGGGGTGGAGGTGGGGAGAAGAAGAAGCATACTAAAAGAAAGCTATGGCCTGAAAGGACTCACTATATTTACTTTTTCCACAATGCCTGTTTGAGTCCTGAAGCAATAAAAAGCTAAGGGGGGTGCTTTGCCCATTTCCCATTGGACTTTTTTTTTAAATTAGAAGAATGGGTGGGTGGGGTTGTTGACAAAATAAGGTGATTGCTAAGGGAGAACTTCCCAGGTGTACAAATAGTTTTTATGTCATAGGAAACACATAGCCTATTTCTGCCTTACAAAAGGACATGCAAGGAGACTTGGGGAAAGGACTCACCCATTTTATTCTCCAAATGGAAGGAGTAAAGAAAGCATATTTCTGAAGCTCTATTTGCAAATCTGAGCAAAGGAGAGGGGTTTGGAGAAGAAAATGGGGAAAGAAGTATTTGGAAGTCTATCTTGCCATTCATTCTCCAAAGAGAACATTGGATATTTTGCCTGTCATTCCCCACCCCCACTCCAGTCCCATATTTCAAGGCTTTGGGTAAAAAAGTCCCTTGGTCAATCCTTCTGAAAATCGAACATATTCAGTGGGTTGTAGAATGAGAAGTCAGTGCAGTATGCATCTTGGTGGAAGAATATCCCTGTCACTTTTGAGTCACTGTAAGGTAGATGGCACTGCAGCAGCGTCCCAGGCTAGTGCAAAGAGGAGCTATCAAAACATCCAGGATGCTAGCCCAGAGGATGCGAACTGGAGGCAGAGCCATCGTACACAGCTGAATGCAAGGCATCACACACCTGTTGTGGGAAGAAGAAGGAGGGATAATTTTAAAAGGTTGGCCTTCTAGACAAATCTTTCTTAGTCTTCCTTAATTTACATTTCAGTGAGACAACCAGTTGTTTGACTGAATCTATATCCTGCTTTTCTGCAATGCATCAGATAGCTAACAACAATTATAATGAAAATGAAAAATAAAAAACAACACAAAAATAAGACATATGCTTCAAAGAATGAAAATTTTATTAAAACATCCTTAAAGGTTTGTTGGTAATTCAGACAAGTAATGAATGAATTAATACAATTAACATGGCGCTTGTTTGATCTAGTGCAGGGATGTCAAACTCATGTCACAGCGTTGTCACATGACGTATAACGACTTTTCTCCCTTTGCTAAACTGGGTGGGGGCGGGGCCAGCACGTGATGCATCCGGCCCGTGGGCCACGAGTTTGACACCCCTGATCTAGTGGTAAAGGCACCAAGCATGAGTTCAAGTCTTGCCTTAGCCATGAAAGCCAGCTGGGTTGCTTCAGGCCAGTCCCTCTCTCTCAGCCAACCCATAGGGTTGTTGTAGAGAAAATAGGAGGAGGAAGGAGTATTAGGTATATTCATCACCTTCAGTTATTTATAAAACAAATAAAGGCAGGATTTTAAAAAATCATAAAAAGTGGATAATAAGGAAGGAGCTGGCCTTGACATCCTTTGACAAAAATGCTCAAGTTTAAGAGTGACAATCGAGAAGGCCCATCTTGTCTTCCTATCAAATTCTACTTAGATTAACCAAATAGATCAATTAAGTCTACCATCTAAATTGCTTTGGATATTATTTTCAATTATATAACATTTTAGTACTAGTATTTAGTACTAGTGCTAAATTTATTTTGTACTTAGTACAACCATAACATTTTTATTTTGGATTGTATCATTTTGATTTTCATATTTTTCCAATTCTAAGAAATTCTTATCATAAAGAAGATTTGTTTATAATTTTCCTTCTAAAATTTCTGTTTTCTGCAGACAGTGAGGTTTTCTATCTAGAACAAATAGATATATTTTCTTCCATGTAATTACTCAATTTATATTACTAAAGTCCTCATTTGTTTCAGGATTATGATTCTTTTTGTGACTAACTTTGGTGACAACTTTGGAGTTGCTGTTTTCCCCTAAATACTCTGAATGTTTGCATTATTCTTTTGGCAACAGTACCATAAGAGGTTGACACTGTAAAGCATTCTGGAAAAATGCAAAGCAGACATTGAAATTAGCCCTGTTGCTGACTCATTTCTTCTTTTGTAATAGCCTAATTCCTCAGAATGCCTTAATTACACACTAGACTAGCTAGTCTGCCCTCCAGTGACAAAGTCGTCTGCTTAAGGGAAATGGTGACAAACATCTCAAGTATATACCAAATGCACTCACAGTTCAGTCAGGGGTGGGCTTTAAAAATTTTAGCAAAAGGTTCCCTGCCCGGTTGCTGGGTGGGCGTGGGCATGGTAGGCATGGCCTAGTCAGCCTCCTGCACCATGGCAGGTTTTTTTTTTTTTTGCCCTCCCTGAGCTCCGGAGTTTTTCCTTGAGCCTCCGGGAGGGCAGAAACAGCCTCCCTGGGCCCCGGAGGCTCTCTGGAAGCCGGAAACGGGCCCATTTCCAGCCTTCCCGAACTTCCAGAAGGCCTGCAGGGTGGGCAGGGCCAGCCAGGAGTGGGATTTGGGGGTTCTCCAAGCTGCACAGAATCTTAGCTAGGGGCTCTCCCAAACCCCTGGGAACCCCCAGCAGCCCACCCCTGAATTCAGTCCAAGATATAGTTATATGTATATTTGTGTGCATGCCCATGCCAGCGTGGTGTAGTAGTTAAGTTCCTGGAGTAGGAAGACCCATGTGCTTTCAACCTTAGACTGGGAGAGTAAAAAATACCCATCAACCAACATGCACAGGGCCAGCATAGTAAATTATGATCCACAACTTTCAGTGAAGAGATCTTTGTCTTGCTGTGGATTCCTATGAGCTGAAAGTAATAATTCATATTCTCTGTCCCTCCCTCCCTCCCTCCCTCCTTCTCTCCTTCCCTTCATCCCTCCCTCCCTCCACAGAATGGGGAAAAGAATGGGGCTAGCTTTCAGGATGGATAGATAAAATGCAGAATTGCTTGTTCATAATGTAATCTACTTAGACGGTTCTGCAAGAAGGCAGTTATATTTCTCACTCTCACATGGCACTTCTGGATTACCATCTCCATGCCTTGGAGATTTCTTCCATGACGTTCTTAAGTTCCAGTCCCTCAATTCACATACAGGAACATAGTGGAAATTTGCATGGGGCTGTCCTTGCTGAATTAGTAGGAGACAGAAGGAACTGAGATGTAGGCAAAGGTGTGTGGGTTTGTTTTTTTAGGGGTGAGGATATCTTGGGCCTAAGTCCTCATTTGCTTCAGCACCCTGAGTGGCCCCCTTTCTTTCTCACCACTGTATTTACAAACTCTAGTAATCTATCTTTAACTGAACCATGGTTGCCGAATTTAACCAGGTGTCTAGGTTCATACAATACACTCGGCCATAAACTAGCCAACTGATTTTTCTCCTAGTATGTGGTGCAAACTTAACCCCTGCTGTTGTTCGCCCATAGTCCCTATTTGCATACCTCCCAGTGGTCCAGTGGCTTGATTATGTCCCACTCCTTACTTGCTCAACAGGAGAGTAGGCAGGGACAGCAAGAAGAGGGAAAAAGAAACCCCAGAAATTATCTAATGGCCTCTTCAACTGGTAGTGGCCACTGACATCAGCCCATATTTATGATGTAATGTGGCTTTTTCAAATAAAAGATACAGGGAGTCCTTATTTAGTAACCACTTCATTTAGCAATTGTTTGCAGTTACAGTGGTGATTAAAAAGTAATTTAGTAACCAATCTTCTCATTTATGACCTTCATAGGTCTGAAAAGCAAAATAAAAAATAAAAAAAAATAAGCAAGATTGTAAGCAGAGTTGTAGTTTCACTTAGCAACAACTTGACTTAATAATCAAATTGCGGTATTCAAGTACTAAATGAATACTTGTACTGTCATTTTCTTGCCAGGTTGTGCCCCATCTCTCAAGCCTATATAGTATCAGCCCTGGCATATTCCTACTCCCAAGTCCTTCTTCTGTCCAACAGAGGGCATTGGAGTCAGTAGTTGGGTTCTGCTGTTGCTTTCCATGAGATTTATGGTTACCAGAGAGAGACATGGGAAGGCCATTGTAATGTCTGCTTACAAGTGGGAAGATTTGGTACCCCATACACAGTGTACAACATGCATGTGCTGTGGAGATTTCTATGGCCAACTGACTCCTGCAAAGCTTCTATCTGATCCCCCAATAACTGAAATTATTTTCTTAAGAAAAAATTCAAAAAGTGTGCTTTCCATTTTGCTGCAAAATCCTCCCATATTGTAGTTTCATTCTACAAACTGCAGGAGGACTTGTTCCCTTACAACTCCTTATCAAGGACTTCTCTCTTATCAAGATGTAGATTGCAAAACTCCAGATACCAATGAGTGGGGCTTTCTCTGATGCATCTATTGGCCATCTAGATCAGGGGTATCAAACGCATGTCATCATGGCAGCATCACGTCACATATCAGGACTTCCCCCCCCCTTTGCTAAACCGGCTGTGGGTGTGGCCAGTGCATGATGCTTCCGGCCCGCAGACCAGGAGTTTGACAGCCCTGATCTAGATTTTGCTATCCAGCTCTGGCAGCTCTACTATGTCAGCTCTGCTGGTATGAGGTCTCCGGTATGGAGAGGATGTGGTCAGAGAAATACAATAATGTAGGAAAAAAGAAAAATCAGACTCAGAGGTTCCATGGGGCAGAGGTTTTCAGGCATGTAGACCAACCTTCCATAATCTGCTTTTGATTGACTGGGTTAGAGGAAGATGATCTAAATGAAGTCCAAAACTTTCCTCTTCGTGATTGTGACATGTCATTTATGATACACCTAATATCCTCTAAGGTAGCACATGATAGAAGGTAGATTGGTGGTAGTCAGGAATTGATCTTTCAAGGCTCTTTTTTTGGCATTGGGTTCACACAGTGCAGATGTGGCTGCCTATTGATGGCTTGCTGTGTTGTACAAAACAGCTAGTGAGGTTGTTTTATGGTTTGGTGTGTTATATGAACCTAGACAAAATAAAAACTCTACAAAAATTCATTTTCATTATATCAACATATACAGATTTGTTGTTGTTTTTTTAAACCAGTCTGTAAGTAGATTCCTTTTACCTTCTTCAGGGATTTATTTTTTTTGCTACCCATTTGAGTTCCCGGCATTGGATTCCTTGAAGTCTCCTATTCAAGTCCTCACCAGATCTGTCCCTGCTTATCTTCTTTAAAGATCAATCAAAATTAACTAGTGCTGCTGTTTGCCTGTCAGTATACAAACCATGGTGATTAGATTAGTTTAGTAAGCCATTGTCAAGGTAACCATGGACCAGAAAGTTATACAGAGTGGAATAGGGATGCAAGTAACCTGAGAACTACCTATTGCCTATTGCAATGGTTGATAGTTCTCCTACTGATGATTAAGAGGTTGCTTTGTTTTTAAACCAACTAGGAGCACAGGCTGCTGGGAGCGCCAGTAGGTCCAAATGATGTTAGAAGACAAGGCTAAAAAAAGATGCTCACCAGATATGGAGGCAGCCCAGGCAGGCAAAAAGAAAGCCTGAACATAAAGAGACTGGCACAGCACAGAGCAGTGAGATAATACGGTAGCACCAGAGGCGGGAGCTCTCAAAAGTGATGTCACTCCAGGTCCAAATCCGATCAAAGGTACGGAATGAGGAAGGTTCTGCAAGGATGTCGGAGAATTCCAGCTACCAAGAAGAATGGGAATTTGGTTACTACGTCTTCCCCACTGGACAGATTAAATTAGATTAGGCAGAGCAAAGAACCTAGACTCTGGTTATCTCTGTGTGTAGATATAGCATTGTCAAGCTCTGTTCTGCAGGAGATAACCCATGAAGCAAGACATACACAGGCATTAAGGCATTTTAATGCAAGAATAAGCAGAGAATTTGGACAACTGCAATACAAAAGTCCAGCCCTAATTTATTAAAGAATTCATTATGGTGGAATTTCTTTGACTCTCTTCTTCCTAAGCATTAGCAGCCTGGACTGAACTGCTAGTTATGAGGTAAATTACTAATGTATTCCATTCCTTTCTCTGTTCATCATGTCTAATATTCCTTCTCCTTTCTGAGGTGTTCCCATAAATGCAGGACCATGGGTCTCTCTCTCTCTCTCTCTCTCTCTGTGTGTGTGTGTGTGTGTGTATGTGTATGAAGAGAGAGAATGACTGACTACTGATGGACTTTGAGACATACCGTATTATAAGGAAATCGATCAAAAAAGACAGAACATTTGGGACTGAAATAGGGAAACACAAGTAAGCCTGCATTTCAAAAGTGGGAGGAGACTGAGTTTTAAAGAGGACATAGTTCCCTTGCTGGATGGCCTGGCTTTTTACAGAGGTGTTCTTACATCTTGGACAGCCCAAACATGGTTATTCATTGGTTCCCCTTCTTACCTTTAGATGTTGGTTGATTCCATGTGGATCTCGGGGATCAGTTTTGGGAGGTATGTCGACAGTGGACTGCAGGAGCATGGTTCCTGGTTCTTGCAAATGAGGATCTTCTGGATCTAATTTATACTCCACCAAGTATTTATCACTGATCATCTTGAGAGTAGCTCAAGGCTTCTCAGAATATCGGATCCAGGGATGCTGTCAAGTACCTCCTAATACATGAATCTGTGACACTTTCCCTTTTTACAGCTCTATGTCTTATTTTGAAATTATCCTCCCTGTCTGTCTATTCTGCCTCCTCACGCTTGTCTTTATTGCTATACAGGAATCTGACTCCAGTTCTATTCTCAGCTTTAGCCAACATAGATTGGAAGGAAAGGCCAATCAAGGAGGGTGGATCTTGGCAATTGCACACCCCCACCTGGTATTTTCAGCTATGGGGCAAGCCACATGTATAGGGACAAGAGTTATAAATATGACACTGCCCCAGTGATCCTTGGCTGAGAGACGGAAATGGGGAGAGGAAGGAAGACCAGCTAAATATACATGAAGCCAAACTATTCTTACAACTGGGATTAGGAATGGATTCCATGGAATAGAGCAGAGGAATTCCAAGGCGGAATAATTATGCTGATGCAGCCAAGTGGGTTTCATCACTGTGGGTCGCCATCTAATGGCCACTGAACTCATAAATTTACAGAGTAATGCAGAAGTGACCTGAAAAAAGACGTTTTTATGCAGAAACTGCACAAATTCACATAGCAATAATTAGGAATACAGTAGTTTGCACGTTATCTGAATTCATGTACTGTGCAAAGCCTTAGTTTATTAAATAAATTACAATTGGCCAAGTATACAGAATGTGCTAAACCACACATTAGGGCTTAAAGCTAGAATATTTAGGCTCGTACAATATGCTACGCCAGAGCTCCCCAACCTTTCTGGTTTGCGGCCTGGCCAGGGGTAGGGAAGAGGGGATGGTTCCATGTAAGCAGTGGGCAAGTGCACACATGCGTGCAGCTCCATTTGCATGAGCAGCAGGCATGCACGCCCACCACTCACACAAATTGAGCACACGTGCACGTACTTGTCCACTGCTCATGCAAGTGGGGATGCACATGCACACTCACCCACCACTTCCACGGCCTGGTTCTGAATGGCTCAAAACCTGGTAGAGGGCCGCAACCTGGGGGTTGGGGTCCTCTGTGCTAAGGTACATACAAATATACTACTATGATGTATAAACTATGTTGTCATGTGCAAGGGAGCTGTGGAGAGTCATGTGACTTAAACTCTGTGAATCTGTTTCCCTCTAGCAATATTTTGAAGTCAAGTAAACTAAATCATGCTTTGCTCCAGTCCTACGTGCATATTTGCTTTGGCAATTAGATTGTGATTTGATTCAAAGCATCAAATTGACTCAGATGCTTCCAGATTGGTTCATACGATTGCATGTACCATGTAACTTTTCTGAACTGAATCGACTTTTTAAATTAGATGGATTTAGTGATTTAATTTGACACTTTGAATTTGCTTGATTTGTGAATTGAATTTGCTCAACTACTGGAACATCCATTGAATTAACTTTTGAAGAAGAGCTCCAGAAGAGATGAAATGTTATGGGGCAGTGACTTAAGGCTGCTTAAAGCCCCATCTTCTATCCACATGTTTGTTGTGAGACTAGGCTGAAGTTGCCATAAACTGAAAATGGAGCAAGCACATAGGCTTAATTTATTCCCACTGCATACAGTCACACAATACACATGAAACTATGCCCTGAGGCCAGCATGGGAGGAATTGGGTATTTAATGGATTCTGTAAAATCCTTCAACTCTTTAAGAAAGAGGGAGAACATTTTAAAATAATCTATTTGGATTTAAAGGGATCTATAAACTATTTTAAAGGGATCTAAAAATGGAAAAAGACATACAGTTCCCCATAATTCCAAACCCTTCTATAGAGAATCCATTTTGAAAGACCTAGCATCATTATTCAGACAGCCTCTGAGCATTAGGTGCCTTCTCTGCAGGAAGCCACGTGATTATTATTTTTTGGACCTGTGAAGTTGTTCTTGCATGTTTTCTCCAGAAGGCAGCTGCCCTGCCCTCAGGAGCCGCCACTGCCTACAAAACTTTCAGTTGGGCAATTCTTACCTTGTTCTCTCTCCCAATGAGATGAGGCTGTTTAAGTATGGAAAATGCCCCATAGTATACACTTGCTGCTGTGTTGTGGTTTGGAAGAGAAACAGCTGCAAAAGCCTTGCATTTATGACACATTGGCTCTACCGCTTGTTTTCAAGTACTTCCATGTCCTAATTACAATGGAAAACTTTTTTTAACCCCTACATTTTCCGGCTCACACGAGTTGTCCCATCTCATGTAATTGATGACTCTAAATCTATTCTATTAGTTTGGAATCAAATCCTTTTACTTTAGCTTGTGTGGTGTTCAAATTCTACTTCACATAGCAACACTGAAGCAGAGTGCCAGCATGGTGACATGGTCTTGTGTTAGGATCCAGATTCTAATTCTTTAGGCATGGAAGTAATCTTAGGTGGCCTTGTGCTAGCCATTCCCTCTTAGCCCCATCAGCAGTAGACTTTGTGACCAGCTGATTATACCTCCCCTCCCCATTGCTTTACCATGTGATATGTGTGAATGTAGTGCAAAAATGAATGGACCATCTTCCTGCATCTGTATAATAGAAATTGCAAAGAACAATAACAGCAGTGACATTGCAGTTTTTGATCTTACTCACTCACTGGTTAGTATTGAATTATATCAAGAGGCAGATACATTCCCATAGCATCTGCTAGCTCCAATCAACACAAACCATAGGCCAATAGGAATGTCTCCTCACAAAATACACTGCTCAAAAAAATAAAGGGTACACTTAAACAACACAATGTAACTCCAAGTCAATCACACTTCTGTGAAATCAAACTGTCCACTTAGGTAGCAACACTGATTCACAATCAATTTCACATGCTGTTGTGCAAATGGAATAGACAACAGGTGGAAAGCATAGGCAGTTAGCAAGACATCCCCAATAAAGGAGTGGTTCTGCAGGTGGTGACCACAAACCACTTCTCAGTTCCTATGCTTTCTGGCTGATGGTTTGGTCACTTTTGAATGCTGGCGGTGCTGTCACTCTAGTGGTAGCATGAGACGGAGTCTACAACCCACACAAGTGGCTCAGGTAGTGCGGCTCATCCAGGATGGCACATCAATGCGAGCTGTGGCAAGAAGGTTTGCTGTGTCTGTCAGCGTAGTGTCCAGAGCATGGAGGCGCTACCAGGAGACAGGCCAGTACATCAGGAGACGTGGAGGAGGCCATAGGAGGGCAACAACCCAGCATTAGGACTGCTACCTCCGCCTTTGTGCAAGGAGGGACAGGAGGAGCACTGCCAGAGTCCTGCAAAATGACCTCCAGTGGGCCACAAATGTGCATGTGGCTGCTCAAACGGTCAGAAACAAACTCCATGAGGGTGGTATGAGGGCCCGATGTCCACAGGTGGGGGTTGTGCTTACAGCCCAACATTGTGCAGGATGTTTGGCATTTGCCAGAGAACACCAAGATTGGCAAATTTGCCACTGACACCCTGTGCTCTTCACAGATGAAAGCAGGTTCACACTGAGCACATGTGACAGACGTGACAGGGTCTGGAGACGCCGTGGAGAACATTCTGCTGCCTGCAACATCCTCCAACATGACCGGTTTGGCAGTGGGTCAGTAATGATGTGGGGTGGCATTTCTTTAGGTGGCCGCACAGCCCTCCATGTGCTCTCCAGAGGTAGCCTGACTGCCATTAGGTACTGAGATGAGATCCTCAGACCCCTTGGGAGACCATAAGCTGGTGCGGTTGGCCCTGGGTTCCTCCTAATGCAAGACAATGCTAGACCTCATGTGGCTGGAGTGTGTCAGCAGTTCCTGCAAGATGAAGGCATTGATGCTATGGACTGGCCCGCCCGTTCCCCAGACCTGAATCCAATTGAGCACATCTGGGACATCATGTCTCAATCCATCCACCAACGCCACGTTGCACCACAGACTGTCCAGGAGTTGGGGGATGCTTTAGTCCTGGTGTGGGAGGAGATCCCTCAGGAGACCATCCGCCACCTCATCAGGAGCATGCCCAGGCATTGTAGGGAGGTCATACAGGCACGTGGAGGCCACACACACTACTGAGCCTCATTTTGACTTGTTTTAAGGACATTACATCAAAGTTGGATCAGCCTGTAGTGTTTTTTTCCACTTTAATTTTGAGTGTAACTCCAAATTCAGACCTCCATGGGTTGCTAAATTTGATTTTCATTGATAATTTTTGTGTGATTTTGTTGTCACTGCATTCAACTATGTAATGAACAAAGTATTTACTAAGAATATTTCATTCATTCAGACCTAGGATGTCTTATTTTTGTGTTCCCTTTATTTTTTTGAGCAGTGTATATTGCAGCCAAGACAATCTTCATAAGAGCATCTATGGCTTATGAGCTGTCTGCCCTCTTCAATGGAGCTCTGAGGCTGGAACAAACACCTTAATTTGCTTCGTAGTGGGGCACAGCTTCAATTTTTTAAATGTGAAAACCTAAGTGTGGTGAGGAACACATCAAACAAAATACTGGCTGGTTGCATACAGTACATTAAGCAATGATATTTTTTTTAAAAAAACTGATTTGTTTATCAAACAGCAATAGCCAGATTGGCATGTAATGCGGAACTATAAACCAAGGTTTACAATGATTCAAACTATGTGCTACCTCAAAGCCAAACAAAAACATTATACATAGAGGAAATAGGATATTGGAAAAGGAAATAGTTTCCCTAGTACCTGCTCCAGTGTTGCCCCTGTAGCAGATTATCAGGGAATTCAGTCCTTGACAGACAAACACTCCCCTCCAATCCATTCAGAAGCTTTGTCTTGCTAGTCCTGCAGTCCTTCCTGACCCAGGTTTCCTTTACGTAGCATTGCTGAGCAGAAATGTGTGCCTCTGAGGAACTCAGAAGGAGCCTTAGGCAACCTGCTGATTGCTGAGAATCAACCATCCTGCAGGAGTATCCTTCACCCCTGCCTTTCTGCCTGCAAGCTGCTGTCTCAGGAAAGAGTGTCTCGGCCCAGTGAGAAGCTGCCTGTGAGAACGGAGTCTTCATACAGGGAGCCAACTTGCCGGTGGGCCCATCTGGGGCAGAAGATTCGGCGCAATTCGCTTGAGATGCTGTTGCTGAATGTGGCATAGACCCAGGGGTTTGTACAGCTGTTGAGGCTGCCAATGAGCATCAGGAGGGTGAAAGCTGGGCCTGGAGTAAATAATAGGAATGATGAACTGTCAAGAGTTATCAACAGAGGTTAAGCTCATCAAAACTGATCTTGCAACGTATTCAGTAAAGGCAGACCCATCATCAATGAGGAACTAAAAACTGAGGTTGGGATTAAAAGAAGAACGTCACATGAGAGTCAAAAACTGGCCACTCAACCCAACCCTTACTTAACTTCAGCTCTTTCCATATGCAAATGTAATGTGAATTGATATCATATATAAGTAATATAGCAACAGCACATAGACTTATATACTGCTTCACAGCACTTTACAGCCCTCTCTAAGCAGTTTACAGAGTCAGCCTATTGCCCCCAACAATCTGGGTTCTCATTTTACCAACCTTGGAAGGATGGAAAGCTGAGTCAACCTTGAGCCTGGTGAGATTCGATCTGCCAAACTGCTGGCAACCGGTGATCATTAGAAGTAGCCTGCAATATTGCACTCTAACCATTGCACCACTGCAGCTATATATAAGTAATATTAATATGATATGATATGATAATATAATAATAAAATAAAAATATAATTAATATAAGTCAAAATATAAAGCAAAAGGCATGATTCACTGTATTTATTTGTTGCACCTATTGATTGATTGGTGCTTAGTTCCATGTTCTGCTGAATTAATTCAGATAGCTTTGCATGAATATTTGATTGCAGAATTGTATTGCATTGCAGAATAAGAAGACAACAGGATCAAGGAAGTGGCAAGCAAATTATGAAGGGAGTGCTGGGCAATTGGATCAACATTTCTAATAGGTAGTCAAATCAGAAAGCAAAATCTCAGAGAAACAACAAAAATATCAGGGGAGAAAATAACATCACAGACAGATAGACATTAGCCTCAACATTCCAGTATAATATGTTTGAGAGTTGGTGGGGTATTGTAGTTAAAGCATGGGTTAGACAGGATGACTCTAGGTCAGCCTTCCTCTCTCTCTGTCTCTCTCTCTCATTAAGTTGCTACTACTGTAGTAATAAAATGAAGGAAACATCAAAGTAATGGATGCATTACTCCAGGATGGGAAGGAAGGAAGGAAGGAAGGAAGGAAGGAAGGAAGGAAGGAAGCAAGCAAGCAAGCAAGCAAGCAAATAAGCTCCTGTTCATACAAACTGCCATGGGAATTAGCAGAAAGAGAATGACCCTCTCTTTTCCTGAGCTGTTTAATTGGATAAAAGAGCCTTCCTTAACCCAGTATCCTGCAAATGAGATGGACAATGTTCCATATTCCTCCTGATCAACAGGGCAAAAGCCACCAAGTTGGGGGAATCTGGGATACAATCTGGTTAAAGTGCTGTTACTGAATGCTGTGTAACATACCTTGAGTAGGTGCTTGAGGATCCCAAACAGCCCACAGTTGTACTAGGAAGAAGGGAGCCCAGCAGAATACATAGATGAGCACGATGACCAGTGTCATCTTGAGAGTCTTAGCTACAGCACCAGATATAGGGGATGACCCTTGTTGGCTCCCCCTACGAGCCAGGGTGGCTTCTGGCCCCAAACGCAGGCTGTGGTAGACCTCGCAGAAGATCATGCCTTGGCAGGTGGCAATGAAGAAGGTGGGAAGGAGAAAGACCATCAGAGTCACCCAGGTGACATAGGCCCGGGCTCCCCAGGGTTCAGCAAAGGCTGCCCAGCACTCATGGGCTCCACTGGGCAGTTCTGTCTTGGAGAAGATGAAAAGCTGTGGGAGGCTGAGGAGGAAGGATGCTATCCATGCCAATACCACAGGTCGATGCCGTAATCTTGTCCCTCTCCGAAAAGCCAGCAAGGGCCGGCAAATAGCACGGTAGCGATCATAGGTCATGGCCACAATAACATAGGATGAAGCAAACATGCCGACTACCTGCAAATAAGTGATGCCACGGCATAAGATGTCTGGGCCTTGGAAGCGATCAGTGATGTCCCAAATGAGCTGAGGGAGCACTTGGAAGAGGGCCACCGTCATATCGGCCAGGCAGAGGTGTTGGATGAATCGATGCATTGGGCTGGCCCGGTGACCCTGGCGGAACAGAGCTCCGAGCACCAGGACATTGCTCAGAGTGGCCAGCAGGAAGATGGAAGCCAAAATGGCAATTTCAGCCTGAGCCAAAGCATCATCACGGTCATCGGATGGAGGGAGCGAAGCATTGGGAGTGGGTTCCAGAAGCACAGAGGAAGCATTTGGCATTGGATCCTGTGAAATGCACAAGAGAGAGAGAAAAAAAGGTCTGATCAATATGTGCCCATTTCCCCAACTTTCTCCAATTCCCACAGGAAAAACACGTCATAAAATCAGGTACGGCTGACTTAATGATTGCCTTGCTTAGTGACAGAAGTTCTGATCCTAATTATAGTTGCAAGTTGAGAACCACCTATACTATCCTCTGCTTTTAAAAAGTACGTGTATGGTAAAGTAGTACAGAAAGGACTGTGCATAGGAAATCCTTTATTTTTACAGTTATGGTTATTTATTGGTGGCACCTTGACAGTAGGGATCTGGCAACCCCCCTAGCATCTTTTCGGATTAACTGAAACCTCGAGATTTAATTGCCTTTTTTAAAAAAGTGATTTTCAGATTTTGGGCCAACATCTGTACTTAATTGCATTTTGGTACACAGTATACTGGTTTCAGTCCTCCATAGCAAAGAGCTAAAGGTTTGGCAATTTGGTTTACATTAGCCATTTGTATCGCTATAATAAGTAGGTAAATGCAACAGATAAAATTATTGGGGTGGGCGGAAGGAATTCAGATTTTTTTCAAGCCATGGAACCTGCTAATGAGAAAAAAATTCTCAGAACCCCCGATGAAGAGGCAAGGCTACATTGACCAAAAATTGGCAGTGTTCAAGTGAACCTCTTCTTTTTCGTCCTGCCTTTAGTCTCTCACAACATCTCATCAACTTTTTACAGAATTGTTGCATTATACACAACACGGTTTGTAAAACTCTGAATTAAGCTGTTTCCTTGAAGTCTCACTCCTCTTCTCTCAAAGCATCTATCTCAAAGTTGGCAGAAGGTAGATAGGAATCTTCTATGGTGTTTGGTACATTTCTAACAGTTGGAACTTTTAACAACAATAACAGCATGATCTCTCCACCCATCCTGAATAACTCTGTCAAAATGAAGAAAATGGCATGGAGCAGAGCTGGATAAATCAGAGTGTATTGAAAGCTTATGAACTCCATTTACTTTTGATGCACAATAATTTTAGATTGCTTTGTGAGGATTGAAAAAGAGCAGAAGGAAACTCAGAACAACAGAATTGGAAGGGACCTTGGAGGTCTAGTCCATCCCCCCTACTCAAGGAAAAAACACTATACTATTTCAGACAAATGGCTGTCCAATTTCTTCTTTGAAATTTCCAGTGTTGTAGCATCCACAATTTCCGGAGGCAAGTCGTTCCACTGATTAGCTATTCTACCTGTCACTTAATGCTAACTTAAGTCAGCATTTGAGGAAGGGTACAGGAAGGGAACAGACAGGCAGAGGACAACATTTAAAAGCCAGGTTTAAGCCTGCTGCTTTGATGTTAGGTTTTCCATACTCAAACTCTTACCTTGTCATTCATAATCGGAGCATCAGCGGGCAAGTGGCTTCAACCAATAAAGCTTACTCTTCCAGCTGGCACTTTGCTTGCAGATTGCACTCAGGGCAAAAGAAAGGAACAGGAATTTTCTCCTGGGTTTTTGTGAAGAAGTTGCTTCACCTTCTTCTTAATGAGATACAGTGAAATGTAGAGCTTTCAATAATCACAATCAAGGAGGAGGGACCACCGGAAAAAAGGGGGTGGGAGTAAGAGAATTACACTGGCTTTTCCCCATCCTCAGGCAACTCTGCTGGTAGGAGTATACTTGCTGACTTGATTTAGATGCCAGACACACTGGTTTTGCACAGACCTTCCCAAGAGAGAATAAAAACTTTCAGGAAAGAGGAGAAGGAGAAGGAAGTAGCAGTAGGTCAGGGTGGGTATTAACAGTTCTCCTCTCCTCCACTGCGTCCCCCTCCCAATTCTGGATCTTGCAGTTTTCAAATCAAGAATGAATTAACTTGCAGTATCATGATTTATATATTACACTCCAGTTCTTGAAATCAAGGTATTATCTGTTCCTGGTGCTTCAATTGGAAGACTCCACTCCTTCCCATGGCAAGACCTGCACAGTTTATTAACAGCTACAACTTGCATTGGCATGGATTAGGTAATAGTTTCTGATGGATTATTTGCTTAACTCAGCATAGAGAATTTCATAGGTAAGACAACCCCCTCCCCCTGTCATCTTCAGTATCTACCATGCAACTATAAAAATATAGAAGCAAAAGAAGGGAAAATCAAATTAGCAAGGCATGGTTGGTCTAGTTAGAGCTCCAAACACTTAAGTTATTAAAGCATTTCTTTATTTTCTTATTTAGTTATACATTATCTGACAAGGCAACATGGGACAAACAGATCTTAAAATCTCACCTTCAGTTACATTTGCCAAATGCAGATTCCTGTATTCATGCCGATTTGCTTTTTCAGTGGGAAATACAAAGCAAAATGATGTGGGCACTTTCATTGCTGGTTTAGGGTTTTATTTGTGAAGATGAACCTCAAATCCTGAACTACAACACATCAAAGTTCTTCTATCCAGCCCAAAAGCAAGGCTCTGCCAGAGTACAGGTGGTCCTTGACTTACAACAGTTCGTTTAATGCCCATTCAAAGTTATAAAGGCAATGAAAAAAATGACTTACGTTTGTTGTTCACACGACTGTTGCAGCCTCTCCTGGTCATGTGACCAATATCTGGACACTTGACTCATATTTATGATGATTGCTGTTTTCCTGGGGTCCCCTTTTGCAAACTTCTGTCAAGCAAAATCAATGGGGAAGCCAGATTCACTTAACATCCGTGTTACTAACTTAACAATTGCAGTGGTTCACTTAACAACTGTGGCATGAAAGGTTGACAAATGTCTCAAAACCAGAAATTTTGGGCTCAACTGTGTTCATAAGTTGAGCACTAGTTATATAATTGTGTGAAAATAATCACAAAATTATCATAAGAAACTGCCTTCACTCCTTCTCAAAACTATCCATAACTGAGCGGGCAGGAAACTATGTTGTAATCAAAATTAATATATTGTAGCATAAGATACTATAAGATTGCTAAAAACACACCTCTGCTGAACAATCAACTGACAAATACAGAAACCAATTAGTTTCTGGCAAGAGTAATTAAAACAAAGAAACCATTTGCCCACACTTCCTCAAATCCACAAATAAGCTGCCCAGACACCATTTACACAACAAAGAAGAAAGCCTACTGATACAAGGAAGGACAATTAGGGCTAAACTTTGGACAGAATCATACACCAAAATGAGCATGTACACATCCACACTGAACAGACACTACATAAAAGACCAATCCCCTATAAAACAACCCCTTTGTACCTCATCTTTCCTGTAGTTACCTCCAGGAGGGAACTGTTTTTGCTTTTGAGACTAAATGGATCACTTCCTTTTTTACAGCAGAGTGCCTTGGGTCTTATTTGCAGAACCTGGCTTAGGTTGGGGCCTGAAATTCTTCTCACAGTTGGACTGGACCAAAGAAGGAGTGGGGCTTAAGTAAGCCATTATTATCTTTTCCATCTTAACATTAGCTTGCAACGTACAACACTGCAAAGAACTGAGAATGCATCAAAGCTCTATATAGATCAGTTTTGCCCAGTCTGATACTATCATATCTATTGGAGGGTACTCTAAAATTAGCAGCCCTAACTTATCTGATCCAGACAAAGCTTTTATTATTATTATTAGTCTTGTTGGTAATTTACATGGTGATAAATTCAGTTTGGGAGCTGAAAGACTCAATCTTCTAATAAGAGGACCTTTCAAATAATTACCTTCTACAGCTGAATAGATTCTAGAACTGAAGGCCCTCCAGCTATTCTCAGAATGTCTCTCCTAAAAACTGACTGGGATTGCCTGGATCTTGAGTCCAACAATAGATAAGAGACCCTATCAAGTCTCTAATTTTCTGGCTGAATATAGAGACAGGCAGTTCAACACTACAAAGGCTTCCATACAAAGTTACTTTATTGGATTATATCAGGCATCCTCAAGGTATAACTCACAGTTATGCTGAGATTCATCTAATGTCCAATCTTTGCATTGTCGTCTTCATAGTGTGAAAAGATAGTTATCTTCATCCCATAATGATACAGCAAGGGAAGATTCCAGCACGATTCTGGGGTCCAGGTAAGAATGACGAAAACTCCCCCAGCCCAACCAGAGGTCAATTGTGACCAATCAGGATTATAGATGTGACCATATGACATTAACTACATCTCCCATGAGGCATTCCCTTAAGGGGACAGCTCCCAATTCCCAACTAACTATGCTGTCTAACCAGCACACTATATACTGTCTAACCAGCATAGACCCGGAGATTCAGTATGCCACAGACATAGTGAAAAAGTTTATTTTCTCACATCAAAAATGGAAGACAAGCTACTTGAAATACAATTTGCCCAATATAATCTTTTGTTAACATATTATACAAACAAAGAAATAGTGTTTTTTAAAAATCTAGGGTGGGGTTTTATTGCATCGTGTGAACTAACAAGTTTATTTTCTAAGATACTTATTCTACGTGTGTTCTGTAAAAAGAGTTATAGGGAAAACATTTTTTTTTTAATTAAATCAAGATCCCTGCAGTTATAAACCTCATGTAACCGGTAGAAATTCTATAGAGGAAGTTCTTCTGATTATTTCACTCTGTTCCAGACTGGTAGATTTCCTTATTCATCCACACAGGCACTAGGTAACAAAAGCAAGAGGTTCTGCCAAGAGAGAAAAATATATTTAATCTGATGTTTCTATCAATTTTTTCCTGGCAGAATTCCCATCAAAGCAGACAGAACACATGTTTTCATATCACCTCATCTTTAGTGGGAGAAATGTCATTGCTGAATGTAAAAGACACAGGAACCTAGCCAGGATAATTGAAATATTTCTGGAACTTCCATCGCATGCAGGTCGTGCGTGCCTCAGGTTCTCCGCAGGTTCACCCTGAGTTCTTGGTTGCAACTGGGTAGATGCTGGGGGAGGAGTGGACTAGGCAGCCAGCCAGCCAGCCAGTGTGCCTGTTCCCTCTTTATCTGAAGAACATAAATGCTGCAAATGATAGTTCTGCCAAGTGGCAGAAGGAGCCCATTCAGGAAATTGGACAGCTAGCCAACCAGTTCCAACTCTTTAGCTCTTAACCCTTAATATGCCAAAGTTTCTTCTGCCTTATCTAATTTACAGGACTTCATAGGGACTCAAGAGGTGTTGTTTTTTTTCAATTTTCAGACATTTATTTGCCTTATTTTTCTATATGTGAGATAGCAGGAATTTCAAAATATTTATTTATTTAATTTATTTATTTATTGAATTTACATTTGCTGCCTATATGCCCATGGCAACTCGAAGCAGCTTACAGAATGCAAAACCATATTTAAAATTTAAAAAAACAACAATAGAAACTAACAAAAAGAATCAAATAAATTAATAAAGTACAATAGAACAAAATCTGGAAAAAAAAAAATCACCCCCCAACTCCCACCCACCCACCCCCTGCACCGATGACAGCAAATCACACTAGCCATTTGATGGGCTCCATCCTGCTCTAAAATATGGTAGTGTCAAGGCTAAAGGAAATACGACTTCAGCAACAGAGTGATCAATGTCTGGAATACTCTACCTGACTCTGTGGTTTCTTTCCCAAACCCCAAAAACTTTAATCTTAGACTGTCTACTATTGACCTCACCCCTTTCCTAAGAGGTCCTTAGGGGGGCGTGCATAAGCGCACCAATGTGCCTACCGTCCCTGTCCTATTGTTTCTTTTTATTTTTCTTATATGTATCCATTTCATGTATCCATAACTATGTTTATACTTATACCTGTTATCTTATAATTGCTTGACAAAATAAATAAAATAAAAATAAAATTAATTCACATGCTTTTTTTTAAAAAAAAACAACCCAAACCATACAGATTTTCCAAATCCAAGTTTCTAGTTTTGCCCACTTTGAACATCTGTCCCTTATCTGCTAGGTGTATCAAAAGGTTGCCTACTCATTTGGTAAGTGCAATAAATAGAATTAATTCCTTGCCATTCTTCTTTTTTCCAGAAGTACCAAATGATATTGCAAAAAAAAAAAAAAAAGAAAACAGAAAAAAAACCAGGAACAAGGAACAAGCTTCTCCAGATACCATCCTGGTTTAATCTACTTTTTCCTCCCCAAAAGCTGAATGGATTTAATTGCTGCTTTCAAAGGGGGAGGGGTTAAAAGCTAGTCTGGATTCTATTCTAATAGTTGGGGGTGCCTATTCTGGAACAAATGTAATTGGTTGTTCTTTATAGCATCATAGATCCTATGGTAATGGTAAAGTTCCCCACTAGAGGGAACCAGATGCTTCAGATCAGTATTTCTCAAACTTGACAACTTTAAGAGCATGATCTTCAACTCCCAATGCCCCAGCCAGCTCTCTAGGGAATGTTGGGAAGTCAAATCCACATATTTTAAGATGGCCAAGTTTAGGAAAC